TGAAAGCAATTCTTTGTAATGCTTAGCAAAAGCCAAATCAGCATAATGTCTAAGGATCATAGCAGAACAATGTTCACAGCTTTCAAATACAGTGGTACCTTGGGTTACAGATGCTCCAGGTTACAGACGCTTCAGGTTACAGACTCCACTAACCCAGAAATAGTACCTCAGGTTAAGAACTTTGCTTCAGGATGAGAACAGAAATCGTGTGGCGGCAGCAGGAGGCCCTATTAGTTAAAGTGGTACCTCAGGTTAAGAACAGTTTCAGGTTAAGAACGGACCTCCAGAACAAATTAAGTTCTTAACCCAAGGTACCACTGTAGATTCTAGGTTTATTTAAAGAGAATTAAATATGAAATAATTTAGAACATGGAATAAAGCCCAATGACAGCAGCTGTATAAGCAATTGGTCAGAATATCCATTAAAATAAATATCAACCCATTTGTCATAGATGGTGGGTCACCTTTCGTTATTAGTTTCCTCATTCAGAGGAAAACACATTGTTTTTCATGTTAATCATAAATATAAGCACTCTCACAGTGCATTTTATGCACCATGAATATATGCCTGCAAGGCATGCAAATTTGACAAATTACCTGTATAGATATTTGCATGCCTTGCAGGGGTGTAAGCTGCTGACAAACTTCTCATTGGGGTCCAGACTTCAGAAATGATCAAGTCATGACAAAATGTGCCCTCTCCTGGTAAGAAGCGGAAATGCTTCAAATTCAGGCAAGGTGATTTGCTAGATGTTAGTGGTTTAAAAATTATGACTGTGAAAACAAATCAATTTAGAGCTTATAGGACAGGTTTCAAACATCTAAATATAAATGAAAGACACACAACTCCTGCAGCCCAATAATAACACTGGCATGATTGGTTGCAAAGTCACTAGGTTCCTTCAGTCATGAAAATACTGAACTCTTTCTGTTCAGGAAATAGATTCTGCCGTCTCTATGATATTGAGGCTGCTGTCTTCAAACCACTTACTCCAAAATAGCTCCACTGACTTCAGCGGAGCCCTCCTGGATAAGTGCCTGGTTTTTAAGCATTGTGGCCTGAGTAGCTGAAACCTTTTCATGTTTATGAAAGCCTCCATAAGCGCAGCTTCGTCCGTTCACTTTCACCCCCTTTTCCCTATTGTTTGCCCTCCCCTGTTTTGTCTCCCCCATTGTAAAAAAGTAGGTTGCAGTTTCTTATTTTTGCTATCCTGAATGCTCCGTGCACCATCCTAATGTACCGTGATAATAACCTTCAGAGACATTATCATGTGGAAGTTCTTCCGCTACAATTAATAAACGATGGGCTAACTTTTGAACATTTGTTTTTGTTTAAAGGGAATGCCAGTAATTCAGAAGAAGACCAGAACATCAGCAGCACAGAGAATCAGTCTGTCTCCAACACACAGAGACTGTTGGAACCCAAGTCACATGCTCACCACACCAAAATAGATGTCATTAGGAAAGAGCACGCCAAAAATACCCAACGCTACAAATACGATTCACAAAGCACAGACACACTGAATTTCTCTTCTGAGTCCAAGCAGGAGACTGAATATGTAAGTAATTTTTATTTAACAGAAAAAGCAACATACATGTGTTCCGTAAATATCACTTTAAATGGATGCAGACTCTAGATATTGTTAGTTGTCTGAGCTTGTGTTGTTGCCAGAATTACTAGAACTGATCCTGACAGCTGCAAGATTTCTGAATTATACAGAACCATTGCAATCACATTTAATCTGTCAACCAGCAGTCACTTCACAGGCAGGTTAGAGTCCCTGTGCCTCTTTTGATCATTGCATACAGCTCCGAACCAGAGGTGACATCAGGTTTTGCCTCGAATGAAATTTTGAGGCAGATATGGAATCTTCTTGTTTGGGAGAAATATCAGAGGAATTTTGAGAGCAGAAAAGTAAATTTCATTGGTTGGTTTCCCAAGGGAGTTTTAAATATCCCACAACAAATATTCCTGGAGGTTGTTAGTCATGTGATGCTGCGGGTCTTCCTCCATCTCTCTCACCAGCAGCTGAGGGTTCTGTTGGGAATCCACGGCTGGTGGAGGATATCTCTGCCCAGTAAGCAAAGCTGGTGTAAATCATGGCTTGTCTCATTCCTAACGCAAAACATTAAGGTAAATGAGGTTTGTGTTTAGCCGAAACATCTGAGTCATCCTGAAGGAAGGAAAAGTTTGAGGAAGACAAGTGACGTTTCAAAGAGGATTCTCCACACCACTCCATACTTAAGCTGCCTGGCTGGACAAGATTTTATGGTGGCAATGTCCTGTTCCCCTTACATACACAACAGATTGGCTAATAAATAAAAATTCCTTGCTTTCTGTCTATGTCTGCGAGCCTATAATCCCAAGCAGCCAGTCATAGCAAGTGCTGTGAATGCAGGACTCAGTATCAACTTTTGGCTGGCTATCAGAAGTTTTCTTCTGCACACAAAGCAGTGTCTAGCTTTGCTAGTGATTGCTCTGCCATGCTGAAAATGCCTCTGCTTGAAAAAAAACCACACATAGAGGATGAAGTGGTCACTGTTTCTTGTTCCTTATGTGTAGGATATGAACAAAGTCTGCAGACCTGCCGGACTGGAGGAAACGGGAGCAGAGAATACTCTGGTTCATGTACTGCTCTTGGCAGGCAAGCGGCAGATCCCCATGCCAACAGCACACAAAATGTTGCTGTGTTTTTCTTGGCTGTGCATCAAAACACTCATGGCTGATCCAGACACAACTTTGTGCTGTTGAAAAGGAAAAAAAATAGGGAGGGACCACTCCAAAAACCTACATGAATGGAAAATGTAGAGAGTCTGATGAAAGTGAAATGTGGCCTTGCCTGGTTCATTTGTCACAAAATGTAGAAATGTTCCAGTGGGAGCCCAAGGGTGCCTGGCTTTTCGGAGAGTGCTGCTTCTCTTCCACAAGGAGGAAGGAAACACAAAGGTTTGTGTTCACAGGGTAATAGACAGGTTGACTTTATTTCCATGCTATCCCCTTTCAACCAATTCTGAAACTGGGGAACTTCAAGTTCTGACATTGCAATAACTCGTATTTAGAGATGCTGATTTAATTTCGCAATCTATTCTGAGTGCAAACGGCACAAAGGCCATCTTCTGAGCATTTTTCTTTAAAATAAAAAGGGAAACAGCAATAGTGGAAGCAGCAGAAATATTGTTGACAGTATGTCAATGAACAGACCTTGTTTCATTGAGAGATGACAGCCAGGATTTCAAAAACTTGGCCAGTAGGATATAGTCCATCCAGGCAGTGGGTGAGAAAAGAGGAAAGTGGTGATTACAAAAGCAAGATCTCATTTGTGGTGGCTGCTTCCCAGTAACTGCTCCTGCTGTCTGCTGTACAGCTCTGCAGTCCAGCTATGTGACCAGAAGGAAAAGGGCTTGAAGATTTAGAAACTCCTGTGCCTTACTATGTGGTTAAATTCAGATTAATTGAGAAATTGGAATATTTAATTAATAAAGCAACTGATTTTGACCATTTAAAAATATTTTTTTCATGCATTTTACCTCAGAAACAAGTTACCTGTAAAAAGCTCGTAATGTGACCTACAGTCAATGCCCCTGAATTGCTTTATTTGTAAGGAATAGACGATGTAAAGAATTTTAAAAACATATTCAAAGTTGGGCCAATTGCCTCTTGGAGGCTAATTTGTGAGAAATGTTAAAAGAGTTGATTGATCAGTTGATTGATCCGTTAAACTGCCAAGTGAAAGCCCAAGTCAGATCTGCTGGAGCACAGAGCTCTCAATGCGCTTTCTGCTGGCAAATCCCTTTGGGATTTGCGCTTTGCCATCATTTCACTACTTCTCCTGAGCATTAATGAGAAAATCTTCATTGAAAGTTTACTGCACTGTGCTACAAAATGTACTAACGAAGTATGTCACAACTTTTTAGCAATCTTATTGCTCCACAATGGATCTTTTGTGAATAGGGGCCCTTTCTGACCTCATCCTTGCAGGGCAGGAACTAGGATGATGCTGTAAGTCAGGATGTAGAACCTGGGATCCTCCTGATGTTGTTGGCCTATGGCTTTGTGATAGTTGACCTTTTGCTGTGTTGCCTGGGGCTGATGGCAGTTGGAGTCGGGCCTTCTCTGGAGAGCCATGAGTTCCCCATTCCTGGGAAACCGCCCCATTGGGAACCCTTCCCACACAACTCAGGCATTTGACATTATCGTCTCCGTGGCATGAGGCAACTAGGCTGCTGCAGGTCCCACATAGCTGAGGGGGTGTCCTGGTCAGAAGGACCCTAAATATGCTGCTAAATAGCCTCAGATGTGCTTGGAGTTCTGGCAAGCGTGCTGACTCGGGTAGGAGATGGGGGCCCCCATCTCCTTGGGGTTGAGACCCCAAGTTCAGAAGCATTGGATTCCTTGGGAGATGTTCTCTTTGGTCTCCCAGTATAGCTGTTTAATTGATAGTCATAGCCCAAGCCCTGCCTGCTCACCTTAGCTTAAAAAGGGATTCTGTCTCATAATCTCCTAAAGCTGCTCTGGAGGTTAGAGCTATCTGCGGGTTGCAAATATCAATGTGGCTCTCCTTGCCACCACTCCCCCCACTCCTCGCAGCATGTTCAGAGGCTTCCATAAGAGACCAGGGCTTGGCTTGTGCTGCAGGATGGAGAAAGTGTGAAAGTCCAGGAGTCTCTTGCAGTTTTGTCTCCTTTGTTACCTTTCCCCAAGTGCTTCAGGAGTGGCAAGACACAGGGCTTGGGAGAGAGGCAGAGGGTTTGTGCCTGCCATTCTTTTTTATTCAAACATGGCTACAATAAAGGGGGAGGGAGCAGTGATTTCTTTCAAAGCCAGTGGTCTCCGTTGCCCACAACGTGGTGCCTAGAGCAAATCTGAGAGCCTCTTTGCTCCTCTTCCAGTCCTTGAGAGCCAGTGTGGTGTAGTGGTTAAGAGAGGTGGACTCGTAATCTGGTGAACCGGGTTCGCTTCCCCGCTCCTCCACAGGCAGCTGCTGGGTGACCTTGGGCCAGTCACACGTCTCTGAAGTCTCTCAGCCCCACTCACCTCACAGAGTGTTTGTTGTGGGGGAGGAAGGGAAAGGAGATTGTGAGCCGCTTTGAGACTCCTTCGGGTAGTGATAAAGCGGGATATCAAGTCCAAACTCCTCCTCCTCCTCCTCTTCTTCCTCTGCGCTGCCCAAAGCGAAGATGTGGTTTGGTTTGGTTTAGTGTTGTGTCCGAGTCCAGGGTTGGGCTTTTTCTCCCCTGAACAAGCTGTGAGCTGTTAATGAAGAACAGACTCACAGCAGCTTGTGGTTTGTTGGGAGTGAGACGACCACAGCCCCAGGTTCCTACATGACCCTCTGCTCCACCACGGCTTAGCTCTTGGGAATGTGGCAGCAACAGGATGGGAGAGTGAAGCAGCTGAGATTTTGCCTCCAGGTACCTGTGCACTTGCTTATCCTCACTAAGCCATAGTTTGGCCTGCTTCCATGTAACACTATGCCAATGTGAGAAAGTTTTCACCTGAGCATGTATTCCTTGTTCAGAAAAGTCTGTCAACCTGGATGAAGTTATAGTTGTAGTTTTGAACCAGGTAGTCTCTTGTTCAGATCTGTCAGCCTTGAGCTCATGAGGCAGCCTTAAGCTCAGCACACACAGAGCCCACCTGCAGGAGATCTACCTCCCAGGGGATTTTGCAGGGTTGATATAATGATCATTGAGACAATGTATCTGAAGCACTATGCACCATCCAAAGGCACTGGAAATAATCATTGTTTAATCTGCATTTTACACAAATATTTTTCCTAAAATGAAGAAGCCCCAAAGAGCAAACAAAGGTGTTTTTGTGCCCCCACTAAAGAAGAAAGAAGATGCCTTTTGTGTGTTGTTAAACTAGCATGTGGTGAAACCGCGCTGCAAAATCCTGAGGCAACTTGATCTTAAGTTTCAACCCATGATGTGGTATTTTGAATCTTGGCTCAGTGAACTTAATGGGTCTCAGGGACTGGCTGGGTGGCGGCCGGTGGTCCAGGAGGCACCTGAGGGGGAAGGGGACTTTTGAGCCAGGGAGGAATAGAGGGAGGAGGAAGGGGAGAGGCTTGAGGGAGCCACAGAGACTGAAAGAGAAGGAGCAGGGGAGGTTTCTCCTTCCTGCAATACAGTCCTGATTCAGCTCCTTCTCCTCCCCACTCAGTGCAGGAAAGAAGAGTCAAGAAAAGTTTAGAACAATTAAGAAAAGCCGAGTCACAGTGAAAAAGCACGGAGGGAGGTATAAATAAGGGGGAAGAGAGGACGGAACTTTAGCTTCTGCAACTGACTTTCTTAGCTGATGGATGTGCTTTGTCTCCTTGGTTACTGGGCAAAAAAGTTAATTACAGTGGTACCTCGGTTTTCAAATGTAATCAGTTCTGGAATACCGTTTGAGTTCTGAAACGTTCAAAAACCGAAAACTCAATACGGAAGCCGCATGGCATGTTTGATTTCTGAGGCATGTTCGAAAACCGAAGCATTTACTTCTGGGTTTATGGCGTGTGAAAACCGAAATGTTTGTCAACGGAGACGTTCGAAAACTGAGGTACCACTGTACTGTGAAGCCATGCCTGTTTCTGCTTAGAGACGGAAGGGCTTTTCTGGCAGCCTGGCAATAGGCAAACATATATTACACTGCAATTAGAATCATGCTAAACATCTTTAAAATATTTGCAGTTGTGTATGATAAAACAATAAAGACATGTAAAATAAAAAAGAAACACCAAAAAGTGAATAACAGCCCCAAATTAAAAAATTGTCCAGTAGCACCCTAGAGACCAACTAAGCTTTTGTGTGCATTATGGGATAGCCACTCGCAGCCTCTCCTGGGCAAGGGGAGCCTTCATCCCCCTGCCCGGGAGAGGCTGCCCGCAGCTAAGGCTCCCCCAAGAGCCGCACTCCCTTTAAAGAGTGCGTGGAGTGTGCGGCCCTTCTCCCTCCTCGGGAAAAAGCCCCCAAGAGCCGCACACACGCTCCACGCGGCTCTTTAAAGGGAGCGCTGAGCAGAGCCCCCTGCCTGCATTCGCTCCATAAGATGCACACACATTTCCCCTTACTTTTTAGGAGGGGGAAAGTGCAGCTTATAGAGCGAAAAAATACGGTAATCTTAGGATCCAAGCAATTGCCCTAAATGTGTAGAACATTTGTTCAGTTTAGGTGTAGTGTGGTGTGGTGCAATAGGTGAGTGTGGATCAGGTTTTAATCAGCTTCTCTGAAGGGGGCGGAAGCTGGATTTAGATGTCCCCTTCTCCCCACTAAATGTCTTCACAGTGAGGTGGCAGTTTATTTGATCCCTAAATGCAGTTCTCTATGTGGGTACAGTTAGCTTGGAAGCATTTTAAATTTTTTTTATACAAGCCTAATTACAATCTGCTGTGTAAAATAGTAGTTAAAGCAGCCAAATTCTTGATAGGCAGATGTGTGAGTCCAGCTGCCTTTATGTGAAGACAAAGTTGGCTCTCTAATATTCTAGAAACCTTCAGCTAAGATGGAGTGGAACTAGGCTTTATTTCACCCGGGTCAAAAACCCACAGTGACACCCCTCTGGAGGCTTCACCCAGGGCTAAGGAAATGTCCTTCCTTAACCCTTTAGTGTTCTTTTGCTATTTTAGTCAAAATTTCATTCTCTATCTTAATACAACACTTAATACCAGTGTTTACCATAGTGTCAAATAGAACGCTAAGAGTACTGGCATATAAGGATTTTCTGATTTGTAAGAATAAATAAGCGATCATTATAATTGTCAGGGTCCTTGTCGCAGAGAAATGGAAGACACATTAAACAACCTAAAGATTCTGAATGTCTTAAGCCCGAGAGGACTGCATATTCCAAATTGTGACAAGAAGGGATTCTACAAGAAAAAACAGGTGAGTGAAATTTCTCAGCCATTTATGTTTTTCCTTCCTTCATCTGTTGCAGTCAGTAATTCCAGTAAAATATCACTGGACAACAAATAATTAATCTTCAACCCATGCCATTTTTATCAAATACAGCAGTTTGGGGCACCTGCTGGCATGGCTCCAATGCTTCTTGTCAGATGCAATTGATGTCAATAACAACAGATGTCAAAATTGGAGAAACCTCTGCCAAGTCACAGATGAGCTTGACGCTGGCCCTAGTTTCCAGTACCTTTCGTTGAAAAAAAGAAGCAGCTCTCTGAAAAAGAAGGGGATGGACAGCAAAATGAGCATATGGCTGTAATAGATCAATGCTTTGAATAGTAATTAGCTGCTTGAGGGTTCCTAGAAAAATTGAGTTGGGTCATGTTACAGACCTGAGCAACTTTACGTATGTATCCTTTACATGCTGCTGAGGATTGCTTCCAAAATCTAGGTCATGTGATCAAGAAAGTGATATGCACTCAGAACATTTACTTCTAAGTAATGCTGGCATCTCAGGCAGTCTGGATTTTGGGCACCTGCCTCATGAGATTATGACCTTTCTTGACAATTGCAGACCACCAGACCTACCCACACCTTGGTTAGTTCAGACATAAACATGCACGACCCTTGTAGACTTTGTGTCTTGTTTTCTCTTTCAGTTTTGCACTTTTGCCTCTATTTTTTTCTCTGTATGCATGCTGACCCTCACTTACTTGAATTAGGATCGTGCAGAATTTTCATTTAATCAGAACTGTGTTGCAATACTTGAAGGTGCCTTTTGTCCCATATTAACATACCTATTTGTTAAGAGAGGCTCTCTTGACTTCTGCAGATTGAAGTGCTTGAGTGACTGCACACAGAGTAAAGCTACCCTTCATTTATACTGGCACCAAACTATTGAGGGTTTTACAGTGGTACCTTGGTTTAAGAACTTAATTTGTTCAGGAGGTCTGTTCTTAACCTGAAACTGTTCTTAACCTGAAGCACCACTTTTGCTAATGGGGCCTCCTGCGCCGCTGCTGCATAATTTCTGTTCTCATCCTGAAGCAAAGTTCTTAATCCGAGGTACTATTTCTGGGTTAGCGGAGTCTGTAACCTGAAGCGTATGTAACCCAAGGTACCACTGTACCTTGAATTTGACCCAATAACAAACCGAAGCTATTGAGGATCTTTGAGGAGGAGTGTAATATACTGAATTTTACTTCTGTCGGCAATCACAGAATCATAAAATCCGCATTGGGGATCATCTAGTCCAACCCCCTGCAATGTATGAATCTCAGCTAAAGCATCCATGACAGGTGGCCATCAAACCTCTACTTACAAACATCCAAGGAAGGAGAGTCTACCACCTCTCATGGGAGTTTGTTCCACTGCCGAACAGCTCTTACTGTCAGAAAGTTTTCCCAAATGTTTAGTAGAAATCTCTTTTCTTGTAAATTGAAGCCATTGGTTTGCATCCTACTATCCAGAGCAGGAGAAAACAAGCATGCTCCCTCTTCCATGTGATAGCCCTTAAGATATTTGAAAATGGCTATACTATCTCCTCTCAGTCTCCTCTTCCAGGCTAAACATACCCAACTCCCTTAACCATTCCTCATAAGACTTAGTTTCTAGACCCTTGATCATCTTGGTCACCCTTCCTTTGTTCTACATGTTCCAGCTTTCCAATAACCTTCTTAAATAGTGATGCCCAGAACTGGACACAGTATTCCAGGTGTGGTCTGATCAAGGCAGAATATAGCAGGACTGTGATTTCCCTCAATCTGGATACAAGACTTCTGTTGATGTAGCCTAGTTGTCCCCAATCTTATATCTGTGCAACTGATTATTCCTTCCTAAGTGTAGAACCTTAAATTTATCTCTATTAAAATTCATTTTGTTCAATCTGTTAAAGTATCTTCAATCTCAATTCTGTTTTCTGTGGCATTAGCTACCCCTCCCAGTTTGGTGTCGTTTGCAAATTGGATGAGCACCTTCTCAATTTCTTCATCCAAGTCATTTATAAAGATGTTGAGCAGCTATGCACCCAGGACATAACCCTTCAGCACCCCACTTGTCACTTTTTTCCAGGATGGTGAGGAAACATTAGTAAGCAATCTTTGGGTTTGGTCTGCCAGCCAGCTGCAAATCCACCTAATGGTTATCTCTTCCAGCTCACGTTACCAACTTCTCTGAAAGTGCATCATGGGGAACTTTGTCAAAAGCCTTACTGAAATAAAATACACTACATCCACTGCCTTCTCCTGATCCATCAAGCTTGTAACTCCTTCAAAAAAAAGAAAAGAGGTTCACGTGGCTTGATTTATTTTTGAGAAACCCATGCTGGGTCTTGGTAATCACAGCATCCTTTTGTAGGCGCTTTCGTTTAATAATCTGCCTTTTCCTGGTATTGATATCAAGCTGACCAGTCTAGGGGGTGTCTTATACATGGGGCCATCTCCCCCCATTTTCTTAAATCTGAGTCCCCCAAAATAGGGGGCATCTTATACATGGGGGCATCTTATAGATGGAAAAATATGGTACTTTGTGATGTGTGACACAGTGATGTCCCAAATCCCTAACCTGTTTTCAGTGTCAAGGTCAGTTCTGAAACGTGTCAGGCGACCATTAGAGAATGAGAATTTTATATCATGATTTCCAAGTTAGGAGACATGGCTTCATGACAGGTGATTCCTAATACCTCCTGTTTTTAGAAATAGGGACGCGGGTGGCGCTGTGGGTAAAACCTCAGCGCCTAGGACTTGCCGATCGCATGGTCGGCGGTTCGAATCCCCGCGGCGGGGTGCGCTCCCGTTGTTCAGTCCCAGCGTCTGCCAACCTAGCAGTTCGAAAGCACCCCCGGGTGCAAATAGATAAATAGGGACCGCTTACCAGCGGGAAGGTAAATGGCGTTCTGTGTGCTGCGCTGGCTCGCCAGATGCAGCTTGTCACGCTGCCCACGTGACCCGGAAGTGTCTGCGGACAGCGCTGACTCCCGGCCTATAGAGTGAGATGAGCGCACAACCCTAGAGTCTGGCAAGACTGGCCCGTACGGGCAGGGGTACCTTTACCTTTACCTTAAGTGCTTAAAGCTGATATTGCACGAGGCTTCCTTGCTATTTTGCATGACGCATTGCATTTTAAAAGATAGTTTTGCCACATGAACCGCCGTCTTTCCCATGAATGGTTTCCCAGGCCACACCTCCTGCTTCCAGTTGCCATTTTGCAGCAATGATGCAAATGTGCGATGTCTGCTGTGCTTTCATTAGAAAATATTATTCGTAAAGCATTCTCTGTATGTTTCAGTTGGCCTTTTATGTGGTTTGGGAGTTGGAAATGAAGAAAGTCAACATCAAGCGACTAGCCAACCTGCTGTACCTTCCAAAGAGTACACAGACTTCTATGTTAAAGAACTGCTTCCCCATATGTTGCTCATATGGCTCTGTATTGACTTTCACTCTGTGTGTGACATCTGTAAAGGCAGTTTCAATCGTCCAAGGCATAAATGCATTTGTGGGGCCTTGATTTCACTTTTCTTCATTGTCCAAGTAGAAGGAGTGCAACACTTGCTTTATATTTACCCCTACAGCTTATCTTGAACAGCTGAGGATTTTCCTCCATTTATATTTGGGGCTGTAGTTCAGGTTTCAAGTACTTAATCTAGATCTTGTTCCTTTTACAGTAACCATGTTCTCCCCTAGCTCTGCTATCTTCTTACGGTAGACCAATATTAGGGCCAGAAACGGATTGTAATAACTGCTGACTTTTAGATTTTCTGAGAAAGCAGTCTTTATTACCAGGCGCAATCTGCCTTAATCACTCTGGGGAGAGAAGTCTGGGCTTCCACTTAAAACATCTTATTCTCCCCCCCTCCCTTTTTTTTTGGTTTCACGTCCATCCTGAAGAAGAGTTTTCTTTAAATCAAAAGTGTCTGTGCTACTTTGTGAATTTTTGTTGGTCCTTGTAAAAAATTTTGTTGTTGTTTAGTCGTTTAGTCGTGTCCGACTCTTTGTGACCCCATGGACCAGATGTAAGAAATTAGAACCATATTTTCAGATAGTTCACATTGTCTTCTAATTCTTTACAATGGTCATGATATCATTTTGCAGGGTCTTCTTTCTGGCTTTTAGCAATTTGGAATTGTGCATTTAGCTTCTTTTTATCCAGAAATGAAGAATCGGGGATGGGATTCCTGCTAGATAGGCAAGGGGCTCGCTCTCTTCGGGGCAGAGGGGACTGGAGAGGTTGGCAAGGAGCTTTCGAAGCCACATGCAAGTGAACTTGAAGATGCTCCAGATTCTTTGCCAAGGGATGGGAGGTGGTAACTGATGCTGCAGAAGAGCTTCCACAGCTCACATGCAGAGACCTTTTTAGTTGCATTTTAAACTAACATTTGACTGTTATAATTTTAATCTGGGCTGTAAACTATGCAGTTTATGTAGTTGCTAGGAAATTTTTGTTTAAAAAATAGTTTTTAAATTTTTATACATTATATTTTTAATATTGCTTTGGTCTTGTTTGTAAGCCACCCAAGAAATATTTCTGGATTGGTGGCCAGATACAACAACTTAACACTATTCAGGCATGCAGTTACCTGTTGATGGTAAAGCTCATGGGGTACGAGCTGTGTCCATATGCAGTAGGAGCCCCAGGTGCTGGCTGACTGACTGACTGACTGACACCCAGGAGGGTGACACCCATCCACCTTCCCTCGTCCCCTTAAAGCATGGGCAGGAGACTGGAAAGCAAGGCAGACAATGAATCATAGAATCATAGAGTTGGAAGAGACCACAAGGGCCATCGATTCCAACCCCCTGCCAAGCAGGAAACACCATCAGAGCACTCCTGACATATGGTTGTCAAGCCTCTGCTTAAAGACCTCCAAAGAAGGAGACTCCACCACACTCCTTGGCAGCAAATTCCACTGTCGAACAGCTCTTACTGTCAGGAAGTTCTTCCTAATGTTTAGGTGGAATCTTCTTTCTTGTAGTTTGGATCCATTGCTC